AACACTGGAATTGCCTCAAAGGCTAGCATCTGCACATAATACATATAATTCGATACTTAGACAATATCTCTCAATTAATAATTAGGAATAAGCGAATAAAGGTGCAATGAATAATCTTTACCTCCAAAGAAGTACAAAAACTTGGAAACTTGCATGTTCTATCGACGACCCCTTTATAATCAACCATTGCTTTCTGGATATCTTTCAAATTCTCATCAAACGAGAATCTACCCCAAGGAAAAGTCTTACAGAGCTCAAGATCATCCACAGCTCTTATGAAGAACTTCTCAACCGAGGGTGCTCCCGCTCCAGTTTTTTCCTTCCCTACTATGACGCTACATAGGAAGTACAACACACACATCTTCAACCTATCTGGATGTGGTTTCTTCATCTTCAACAGCTTTTCATGCACTTTTGCATAAGTGATTGTTGTTCCTCTGCCAAACTGTCTTTCAGCGAATTTCATACCCCCCAGTTGGCTATAGTTTTCTGGATAGAGATGACAATCTAATCCAGAAATCAGAGCATGTTCTTTGAGAGAATACCTAATTGGGACGCCATTCACAATGAACCAAGCCTCCCTTCTCTTCTCAACTTCAGATGTTCGAAGCAGGAGCATCCACATGCCCATAACCTTGTGGTTTGAGTCGTCATACATATGGAAGAAATGCTTGAATTGTGGGTGGTTGTGAAACCAATTCCTCTCTTCAATGGTAAGATTCAAAGAATTTATCGTATTAACCGCCTTGTGAATGTAACACCTGGTCGATATCTTCACCTGTTTCTTGTACTCAGTCGGATTAAAGTACATCCGTATAGGTTGCATTGGTTCCGTTTCAATCAAATCCTGCAACTGATTCAAGTTTTACCAAGTGTTACTTTAATTTTTAGAAATACTGTGAGCAACTGATTCAAGTTTTACCAAGTGTTACTTTTGTTTTTAGAAATTCTATGACTTTCAAAAAATTTTACAACATACTACATACTTGTTTAAACAATATTTCATCTAACTACATACCGTAGGGTTCTCCTCATCATCAGAGTTCGTCATGGTTCTGACCAATCTGGTTCTGAGGCTGCTTTCTTCGCCAAGATTCTGATGCTGCTTGCTTCTTGTTCTTGACGGATCCACACTTACTCCTACAATCGCAGAAGAAGTTCGTAACTATTAAGGCATCAATAGACAGAAGCCGATGGATAAATAAAATCAGAGTCCATGATAATGAAAATTATTAAATTGCAAAAGAAAATCCAGTTTATATATTCCCTTAATTCATGTCTCTTCTCGATCAACATATTAGAGGGGAAACAATAGGGAAATTCCGGAATTCAACATACCGTTAGACGCCATTGTTATCTCGCTTGGAATTCAGCAAAAGAGGAGAGTGAGAGTTGAAGAATTCAGAGAGCAAAATGATTAAGGGGGGAAGAGAAGAAGAGGAGAAGGAATTCGGAGGAGAAAGAGGAGGAAGATGATACGAAATTGGCGAATATTAAGACGAATGGTCCGTCAACTGACTTGAATTTAGCGAGGACCGTGTCTGTTCAGTTTCGCACCTGATGGTTTGAACTGGAAACTGAAAAGGGTGTAAGATTTTGAAGGTTTTAATCGATCCAAGTTGTCGGAGTTTGATTGATTTCGGGTTTAGATTTCTTATGGGTGGGCTAGATCCAATTGAACAATGGTTGGGTCTGTAATTAATTGAAATTAAAAATGAGAGTAAAGTAAATCAATAAAATTTAGCATTAAAATAATTAGATAAATATATGAGTTTTATAACGAAGGCAATCGGAATCTTCTTTTGAAAGAGAAGGGTAAGCCAGCCATTGTTTCGTGTGTGAGAGTAATTTTTTCGTAAAAGAAAGGCCTCACTATTAAGTGGACAAAGAGCCAATATGCTCTTAAGTGTTTGAAAATAATCTGACTACCCCTCTCTTAATCTCAATGCCCTCCTCTCATTCTTCTCTCTATTTTGCCCTCACTCTTTTTCAATAAAATAATAATATCTGAAATTAATAAAATAAATAAAAATAAAAACAAATCCATAATATTTTTATTTAATTCTCAACTAAATCTCGGGCTCACATCTTCATCTTCTTCATGGTCCATTTCACTGGTTGGCAGATTTTTCATTCCTTCTGTTTCCCAAAACCCAACATTCTCCATCTTGAAGCTATATGGGAACTTTATAAAGTGAGTCTTTTGCCACATTATCTCCTTTACATACGCTATAAATATTAGAATAATAGGGAGTGCTACACATTGTTGCTCTTGGTCTTCCAATGGCGCCATTGTTCTAAATTTTTTTGTGGATGAATGAATAATTGAAATTCTTTTCTAAGAGTTGTAGGTCGGTAAATAGGAGTAGTTATAATCGTTAAATGAACATCAAATCATCCCGATTCGTAGTAAATTGTTGGAGATTCGTAGATAAATAGAAATTTTCTGGGTACACGAACAGAGTACTACTGGACCAACTGGTATTACTAAGACATCAGGTATTACTGAGAGCAACTGGTATTACTGAGCATTGTTTAGAAATGGGAACAACTTGGTACAACTGGACTAGTATTACTGCTTGTATTAGTGAGAGAAATGATATGATTGAGACATATACTAATGATATTTGTTATTTTTGTTCAGGGGACAATGAATATAAGTCGTTTCACTATTATATGCTTCGATTATGGGGGATCTTATTCAAAGGAAGGTGATGTCATAAGATGGGTATCAAGAGAAGATGAAATTCACACCTTAGTGATGAAGACGTCTGTTGAGGAGGTAACTTATGCTGGGTTGATCAGTGGAATATGCAGGAAAATGAAGATAGATGAAGCTAATACGCAGCTGAAAGTCAGTTACTTTCCATTGGTAGTGGATCCTAAGCCATCATATATCTGGAATGATGAGAATGTTTTTGGCTACCTGATGCAAGTGAATAACGATACATGTAGAAGTGCTTTGCACGTGGAGATCAAGGAAGATGTCGATCAGGGTGTTGTGCGGCCTTCAAGAGAGGATCGCGAAAGTGTAAATGGTCCAGGTAATGAGCAGGTGTTTTCAAGTGGTATGGTTGTTAATGCTGGTATAATTACTCTTCATGGTGGTGAACCATCAGAAGGCCATCAAGCAGAACAAAGAAATATGTCCAGGGAAGAGGTTGATGATATTGAGTATGGACCTGCTATAGAAGAAGTAGCGGTAAATAATGGCTGGGAAGATGGTATTGAAATGATTGTAGGTCAAGAATTTAGAAGTAAAAAGACAGTGCAAGATTTAGTTCATGTAGGCTCACATCAGAATTGTTTTGAGGTTGATACAATCAAGTCTGACAAAAAGCGATACGTGGTGAAATATCGCGAAGCAAAAAATGGTTGCAAGTGGTCTTTACGAGCTGCAAAGTTGATGGAATCAGATTGTTTCTCGGTAAGAACTTACAACAAGATGCATACATGCTCTCGAGCTTCTGCAGTTACAATTAGGAATAAAAGGAAAGGGACACCGGGTTTGGTTGCATCTGTTGTGCATGAAGATTATCCGGGTAAATTTGACACTCCAACTCCAAAACATCTGATCGATATGGTTCAAGGACGACTTGGGGTAAAAGTATCATACTCTACTGCTTTGAGGGGGAAAAAACAAGCTGCAAATGATGTGCGGGGAAGTCCAGCCGAGAGTTACCAGTTGGTGTATTCCTATATGTACATGCTGGAGTCGATGAATCCTGGTACACGGACTTATGTGGAATTGGACGAAAACAAAAAGTTCAAGTACTTATTCTTTGCGTTAGGAGCTAGCATTGAGGGATTCCAAGCCATGAGAAAAGTCATTGTTGTGGATGGAACCCACCTTAAGACTGGATATGGTGGTGTTTTGTTAGTTGCTACAGCTCAAGATCCTAATCATCACCATTATCCAATTGCGTTTGGTGTAGTTGATGGTGAGAAAGATGCTAGTTGGATGTGGTTTATGAACAGGTTGAAATCAGTGATACCGGATGATCCTGAATTGGTGTTTCTTTCTGATAGAAACTCAAGCCTCATCAAGTCTGTGCAGGCAGTGTTTCCGTTGTCTCAACATGGGTATTGTATTCAACATTTGTCTCAGAATGTAAAAGCGAATGTCTACTACGTCAACAAGGATATATGCGTTCTGAAGTTCAAAGAATGCGCTCATGCGTATACAGAGAGTGAGTTCCTGACACTTTTTGATGCTTTTAGAACCAAGTATCCTTCCGCAGCCCAGTATCTCGATGGTAGTGTTCCTGTGGACAAATGGGCAAGATGCTATTTTCCAGGAGAAAGGTACAACATAGACACCTCCAATATTGTAGAATCGATTAATGGTGTTCTTAGGAAAGCAAGGAAGTACGCTCTATTACCAATGATTGATGTGATTGTTGATAAGCTGGCTGAATGGTTTAACAAGCATAGGAACAGTTCTTCTGAAGTATTAAGCACCTAGAAGCTTGTGCCTTATGTGGAGAAAGAACTGCATAAAAGATCACCGGAAGCAAAGAAATTAACGGTGCATGAGTTGAACGCCTTCTTCCTTGAATTCAATGTCATTGGAAAAGACGGCAAGTGCTATTTGGTTGATATGAAAAGGAAAAGTTGTAGTTGCAAGTGTTTTGATATAGACAGATACCCTTGTGTGCATGCAATAGCTGCTGCCATCTTTATGAGCGGAGGCCGGGAACTTCATCTACAAGAGTTTTGCTCGAAATATTATTGGATGGAGCTATGGACATTAGCGTACTGCAGGACGATTTATCCAGTACCACACAGGTCTGATTGGATTATTCCTGATCATATACAAAACCTGGTTGTCATACCACCAGATTATGTCGCAAAGGAAGGAAGACCTCAAGAAAACCGGTTCCCATCAGCTGGAGAACACCGAGGAAGAGGGAGAGGGAGAGGAAGAGGAAGGGGAAGAGGAAGAGGAGGGATGTGGTCATATTTCTTTAGTGGTAATAGTGAGGCTGGTGAGGCTGGTGATGCTGTGTAGCTCGTTTGTGTTTATTTTGTGTATTCGGAACACTTGAAACAACTGGTGCAACTGATAGTATTTAAGACGGTTTTTTTAATGTATTCAAGAGTATGTTTATTTTTAATTGAATTTCGAACATTCGATATGAAAAAAAATCTTGTATTAGTTTATTTAGAGTTATATTTTATTTTTAAAATTATTAGAAAAACTTACATTCAATATGAAACAATCAAATAAAGAACATTTACACAACAAACACCATACACTTCTATGAACACTTTCTGAATACTAACCACCATATGAAGCCATAGACAGATACAATGAGTTTTAAAACATTTTTAATGCATAAAACCCTTAGGCTTAACAACAGAAGGACTAAAATCATCTGTAAAACTACAAACAGGAAATTTATTGCGGAGTATAACTATATAAAGTTAAAAACACCCAAAAGTACAACTATTTGAAAATAGTATAACTAAAAAACTATGGATTACTAAGTGTAATTTTGGCGGCGTCCACATAAGCAAAAAACGGCGCATGTGTTATTTTGGTGGGGAGCAGAAAATTTTTGGAAATTCAGGACGATTTTTCCCGGTTTAGGGTAAATTGTAGAAATCGGGGTCCTAGGGATTTCTTTCACTTCTCAGATTCGAGTTTCCTCCTCCCTTCTCTCTCTCTCTCTTAGGGTTCTAGGGTTCGTTCTTTCTTATCTCTTTAGGTTAGTTGATCTCTCTCTCTCTCTTAAAATGGATTCGGATTGTAGCTATCACTACACGGACAATTTCCTTATCGACCCATACGAGGAGGAGTTGAAGGAAGAGAAGAGGCGCCGCAAGGAAATGGAGAAGATGAAGCAGCATTCGGACATGGTTGGATTCGTCGCCGATGGCCAATATGGGATTCCGAGAAGATGCCCATGTGGTTGATCTATCAAGCACGATGTATCTCCTTCTCCAAAATTTAAACACGATTTCGATACTCAACCAGGCAGTAGGTACTTCACCTGCACCAAATTTAAGGTATAATCTCTATAATTTCAGATCTGGGTTTTTTTCTGGGTAAAACTAGGTTAAACTATTTAGATGTTCTTCCGATGTAAAACTTGGAATACTAGGTATAACTATAATGGATGTTGCTCGTTTTTTTGTTTCTTTGCTAGGATGATGGACTCCACTTTCGTCAGCCATGGGTTTTCGGAGTCGAACAAGAGATTGAGAAGCTAGTTATGAAAGTTGAAAAGCAGAGCAAGACAATTGAAGAAATGCGAAAACAGATTCAGATCCAAGCCGAAGAGATAGCGAAGCTCAAGACTTAACGAATCTGCAATTTCCTTTAATTGTTGTTTTAATTGTTGTTCAAGACTAACGTTTCCTTACACTTCAATGTTTTATAACTATTTTTAGTGTTTATATCAAATCAAATCAAATATTCGAAATCCAAATCAAACAAATTAAAACACCATACCAAATGAAATACGTTTAAATCCAAACATTAAATCCAAACTTTAAATCCTAACAACATAACAACATATCAGCATTCGAGTTTTAGTCCAACTGAAAACCAAAATAGAAAATGTTTTAAGTCCAACTAGACTATTTTTTCCTGCCCCTCTTGGCCTTTTCCTTTGTGTAAGGAGGTCGCACATGCTGGGAACGTTTTATCTTCCTCTTCTGGGGTTCGTCGGCTGCCTCTTTCTCCACTTGGGACTGTGAACCTTTTTTTTTCCTTCGATACACCTGCTTACCCACCGCGGAGGAAGATGTCCCTTCTGTCTGCAAGCACAAATAGTTTTACTTAGTGTTACATAGTGTGACATTTCTGTTTTAGGGTATAATAATTACAAAATTTACCTCTGCCTCCTTCGCTCCCTCTGCCTCCTTCGCTCCCTCTGCCTCCTTAGCTTCCTCTATCTCCTTAGCTTTAGATAAAACAGCAGCCACAGACTTGTTAGGGACCTTCAGCAATCTGCCTCCTACTCTTATAAGACTGCTACATCGCATTATTGAAGGAGAATTACCGCTTCACTCTTCTGCCTCCTCTGCCTCTTCTGCCTCCTCTGCCTCTTCTGCCTCTTCTGCCTCTTCCTCCTCTGCCTCCTTAGACGCTTCATTCTTTTCTCCCTGCAAAACACATACAGTTAAACTCCCTGCAAAACACAAACAGTTAAACTCCCTGCAAAAGACAAATTACCTCCGGTTCCTTCTCTTGTTCCTTCTCTGGTTCCTCAACCCTTGTCTCCTTCTCCGCCTCCTTCTCTGCCTCCTTCTCTTGTTCCTCAATGCCTGTCTCCGCCTCCTTCCCTGCTCCCTCATCTGCTTCCGCCACCTCTGCTTCTTGCTCTTGCTCTTCTCCCTGCAAAACACAAAGTTGTACTTAGTGTTACATAGTATTACTTTTCCATTTAGAGGTCTAAGTCAACCAAATCTTACCCCTGCTCCTTCCGCTCCATCATTGTTATTCACATTAGAACAAGGAATGTAATCATCATAATTGACGTCCTCATACATGCTTCGAGCATCTAATTGCTCTTTCACATAGCTTTCCACTGCTGCAAGTCTTGTATCGAACCCAGCAAAATTGTCATTCATCTTCTTGAACCCACTCTCCATTTCCGTCTTCAGCCTCTGTACGACCTCAACCAAGTCAGAGACGGAACCAGTGGAGGCATTGGCGGCATTCGCGGTGTTCGCGGCGTTCGCGGCATTGACAGCGTTCGCGGGCTGCTCTTTTAGTCAGGCGGCCACATCTTTTTCGTACATCTGTTCAAAACAGACCGGCTTGTCTTCATCTTTAATACACTTCAACCAACTATGAACAACAGCATCATCGACATCATCATCGTCATCTTCTTCAGTCACTCGAGCCACAAAAGCTTCTTCCTCATTGTAAGGGACCAAGATGCTATCAATCTCCTGTAGATATAAACAAAGAGTGCAATTCCAATCATAAATAAATTAAAAGTGTGCAAATTTAAAACGTTTGAATTTAAAAGTATTACTGACCTTAGTTGTACCAAGTGCTTCATTTACTTCCTCGAGAGAAAATCCTTTCATGGCGCTTTTTTTGAACTTGCTCTTGCACATCCTCAGACAAGTTTTCCTCGCAGATGGAACAACTTCTCGGAATTTCTTCTTCAGTGATGGAATTGATTCAAACGCTAGAAGCAACATATGCCACATATATTTCGAGTTAGCTTCAAATCTATAGAAATACAAGTACTACATATATTCATATTTACCTCCAAAGGAATACAGAAGCTTGGATAAGTCCAATTTGATCCGCTAACAACCCCTTTAAAATGATCCACAGTATGCTGGATCTCTTCCATATTGTTATCAAAAGACAATCTCCCCCAGGGAAATGTCCTACACAAATGCAGAACACTGACTGCTCGTTGAAAGAACCGCTCCACACAAGTAGCATCGCCTCCTGTCTTAGACTGCCCAATAAATGACGCTTGATAGAAAGAAAAGGATGGCCATCCAAAACTGATCTGGAGAATATGAATTCTCCAGCTTTTCTTTCACATCTGAGTATCTTACTTTTTTCCCCGCCCCAAAGTGCTTCTCCACGAACTCCATACTGCCCATTTCCGAATAGTTAGGAGGATAGCTGCGACAGTTTAAACCGGAGATGAGGGCGTGTTCACGTAGACCATACCGAATGGGCACGCCATTCACAATGAACCAGGCTTCCTTTTTTCTCTCCGTAACCGCCGTTCGAAGAATCAGCAACCACATCCCCATTAACTTGTGGTTTGAGTCCTTGTGCATGTGGAAGAAATGTTTGAATTGGGGGTGATCCACAAACCAACTCTTCTCCTCTGGTCTAAGTGGATACTTTAATCCACTTAGCAGTAAATCCACTGCTTTCGAGATATAACACCTTGTAGACAGCTTGATCTTTTTCACGTACTCCGTTGGCTGGAAGTACATCTCCATCGGAAGCATTGACTCGGTTCCCTGCAACATAGTTGTACCAAGTATTACTTTTTTTCCAGAAAATCTTAACATATGAAATGACCCTAGTTTTACCAGTTTTACTAAAAACTCAGAATATTACTAATTCGAAACAAACAATCAACAATCAACGAAAATGAAAACCTGATAGCCTAAATTCTAAATTAGAAACAAAGACTTGCTATACAATCAATCACCCAAAACGAAAGTACTTTAAGCAAACTCGATACCCAAAACCAACGAATTCTTCCAAACTCGAAAACCAAGTAACAATGGTTCGGGTACATACTATTAAAGAATCGGATGCGCCGTCGTCTGTGACGGTTCGGCTGCTTCCGTCGCCTCCATCGTTGCCTCATGCTTCTTCGTTCTCTGAAGATTCTGGGTCCGAGTCTTCATAGACCACCTGAGAGGTTCTCTTAGATCTTCGAACCTCCGATGGAACCTCATCAGTTAAACCATAATTCGACCTCTTTGTACGCGCCATATGCCTACATGATCAATCCAAATCGATTACAATGGAATCTATATCGACATCCATCTCACAAAACCGACAAGATTACGACACTTACCTTCTCTGATTCGCCTACAAATCGATTGCTGTTGTGGTGAGAGTTAGATAGTTTGACTTAGTTTTTCTTAGTAACTGCTCGTAGTGGTCCCGATGAACTAGGATCAATCGTCATTTCGTCCGCTTTTTTCTTTTAAATTTTTTGCCCTAATTTACTTTTGATCGATTGGGAAGATGAAGGATGATTTTGGTTTTTAACAGTTGGATCCGACTTAGGATCTACGATATATGGGCAGATTAAGATTTGGATGGGTTTCTCTTGGTTGGATCAGTAATTTTGTTAAGTTATAAGGACATAATCGATATCTACTCATTTTTTCTATTTAAAATAAATGTTATCAAATAATCCAAAAATAACTAAATATATTGGATTATTTTTTGAACCGAGAGGGGCATCTCATGATCCCTATTAAGTTGTGAAATATTTGGGTTGAAACAATAAAATTCATGAGAATACAGTAATACCTTTGAAATTTATCCAGATTTTACCACTCCTTCCTTTGCTCGTCGGTTGTTCTTCAGTTAGATCTGCTCGCTTCCGTTCTTACTTGATTTCCAGGAATTATCGCAATCTCCTTCGCTCGAAGAAACCCTAAATCTTGGCGCAAGTCAGTTTCTCCTCTTCTCAATCCTATTTTCCTCACTTTTCGTCTCTTCGTTTCGTTTTCAGCATTTGAATTTTGTTGCTACAAGTCGTCTTCACGCTTCCTCGTTGTTTGAACGATCCTCTTTCTTATTTTCTAGCTTCAGTTAGTGTTTCCGTTTGCTTCGGATGGGAAATTTCTGCGTTTTGGTTCCAATATGTATCTTCGACTATGGAAGAATCGTACATAGGTTTCGAGATAGTTCTTATTATCATCGGAATATTGACCTTAGTTGTTGTAAATCATCGATTCCCAAGTATCAATTCTCAAATATTTCTCTTAATTACTGCAAAATCTAGTGTTGACTGAGTCGATTCAAGTCTTGTTTTGGTCTTATTCAGTCTAGATTTGATCTCGGAGCTTGATAAATCGTGCATTGAGCTAAATTTGAGTTTTGTGAAAGTATCTGAGTCTAATGTTAGGTTGATCTCATTTCTGGTGCACTGACCTATATCGTCCTTTGTTTGTCATCTCTGTGAAACTGAAATGGACTGTATAGAGATTTTCAGATTCTTGAGATAGTTGTATAGAGATTCTTGAGTTGATAAGGACTATATCTTGTTGAGTTTGCAGATTCTTGAGATCACTGTAAATGGAGGGAGTTGGACTTGGAGGTGACACTGCTTCACCTGTACAGCAACGTGCGAATGAGGCATGGAGGCTGTATCAGTATTACTTAGACAAAACTACGCCTCACGCAGTGAACAGATGGATCGGGACTCTTGTGATGGCAGTGATTTACTGTTTGAGGGTCTACTGTTTGAGGTTTCTACATCATTACTTATGCCTTGGGGATTTATGTTCTGAACCTTCTCATCGGGTTCTTATCGCCACTGGTCGATCCCGAGCTCGATGCTTCTGATGATGGTGCGATGCTACCCACGAAAGGCTCAGATGAGTTCAAGCCATTCATCCGTCGACTTCCAGAGTTCAAGTTCTGGTAATTTTACTATAGAAAGCTCTGTTTATGTGCTAATATCTGCTAAAGCTCTAGTGCCTTGTGGAAATGCGTTACACGTTATGAACCATGCCAAACCAAACCATGTGTGAGACATTCAGAGTATACTTGTATGAAACCAGAACAAAGCTGTGCCTATTAGCTTAGGGAAACTGATGTTGAATCTGTTTTTAGTTAAAGGCGATGAGTCTCTTTAAGTGGCTTAATTTCAGAATTGACATCACTTTATTTGGTAACTCTTTCGTCTTGGGTCTGCGAAGAGTATTTTACTTTTTT